AGTCATGGCAGTCAGCAAAGATCTAAATGCAGGAAGCCGATTTTTGAAATTACGTTTCAGAAAGAAAATTTTACAGAAATCACCGATTTCCACTTCTACACAAAGAGAAACCACAGTGGCCATGTATGTAACGCAATAGTGAAACGTCGAGTGTATCAGGTTAACATGAAATAATGACATAAAATAAACACACAAAACAACAAACCCACCTCCATGAACAGACTGTTGATGAATCTTCAACATATGGAGTATGGGAGACGTCATGTTGAAAAAGTGAAAATCAGCACAGTAGAGATAAAGCCTATCTTTCTGCAGCTTGCATTCAAAGGTGATGATACTGCCAGTAGAATAAGATGCAGACTGAACGCTGCCCTGAAAAGAACATATCCAGCCGCCAAGCTTGTATGTGTTTATCAAACAACTAGTTGTTTGAGACAATCAAAAGTGGACAAATACCCACCTCATGTTACCTCCAACTGTGTCTACCAATTTACATGTACGTGCCAAAGCACCTACATCGGAAGAACAGAGAGAAGGATTATTGTCCGCATTTCTGAACACATACCAAAGAACCTGAGACTGAAAGGTCCACAAGTATTAAACAGTGCGATTGCGCGTCATCTATTAGACACTGGTCATAATGTAGACAACTTGAAGTCATTCAAAATAATCAACAAGCAAAAGAAACCTAACTTGCTACGCTTTGCTGAAGCAATTGCTATCAGACGACTTAAAACAAACCTATGTACGCATAAAGAGACAGTGGTGAATCTTGCACTGCCTTGGTGACAACAAAAAATATATATACAACAGCTTGTTTTTGTTTCCAAGCCTAATTGCCTAATTATTCTATAAATATTTATAAACTGTCAAATACTGATCACAGTTCATTTGAATTATTCTATAAATAGTCAGTGTTTGTAACTCTTAATTAGTTAAATCATTCCGGACTAATGTTACTTTTACTTCCTACCAATTACTCCTTGTGATCGTGGAAAATTATGTTCAAATCTTTAATGTAATGTAATTCATATTTTTCCTCGTTCAGGTTGTAACCAGTTGAGAAGAATCCTCGAAATAATAAAAGATGAGCTCATATTATCCTGGTACAATTGTTGTTCTTGCTTTGTTCAAGTTTATTAATGGGAAGAATTGCATGATGTAATGGATACTTCAATAGGTCACTAGGGAGTAACCGTTTTCACGCTACTAGTCCTTGGTTTTAACAAAGACTGAATTCCATCAGTTACGTTTGTAAAGTGGTGATCAAGCTGGGTGACTTGCCATTGCGGTGAGGTCTAAACTGAAGTATAATGGTTGGAGGCAATCGGCAGAAGGCCGTGGAGTTAGATTTCGCGCCTGTTGGCACTCATCAGAAGGGCACATCTACGTCCCAGGTCCAGTGCTTCCTGTTGATGGCCTCTAGCCATCTAACATCAATTCAGAGTACATGAAGAAAGCGAGCCACTTAGCTTGGTGACCACATTGCAAACTCGACTGATAGAATTCAGTATTCATCAATACCGAGGACCAGATATACAAAATTCCTTAATGCGTAGTGATAAGTTAGTGTAAAGTCTACAATGTAAATGGCAGTGGAGAAATTAGCATTATTTTAGCCTACAGTTTCAACTATGTTGATTTTAGTTTAAAACTCTACTGAACTGCTAAACCATTAACTCGGAGAGAGTGGGTGGTTAATGCGGACTCGGTTACAATAAGCATCAACATGTTGATAACTGTGATTTTGAAGTTCTAAGATGACTGTTCCAATTTAATCATATTTTCAATACATAGTCCAAGGTTCATATAAATTATTTCATTGAAATTATTCTTGAGAAAATATTTCCTGTAATTTTAACTACTAATGTCGAATAGTTAAGAATCCGATTACCTACTAATATCACGAAAAATTCTGATAACTCAATGTAATGAAAACAAAACTTATATAATAAACACTAATCAATGTTTTATTTTCTTTACTTGCAGGAAGATACTCGGGAGTCACTTATCTGGATGAAGAGGTACAACAACTGAAGGATCTAAACCTTAGCGAAGACAAGAAAGGCTGTTAGACTCTAAGACTAGACCTCCGCACGTTTTATAATTGATTCTCATGGAATAAACGTTTTTTGAACAGCTTGTGTTCTGTTTTCATTATCTGTGTGCTTGCTGCTTTGCTTGTCACAAATTTTCTTTATATTTCCTAAATGTAAAACTGATTTCTAACCATAACGGAATTTGAATCATCGCTTTACTTCGTGGGATCGATATTCTAAAGTTCCACTCATTACTTCTCTGAGTGAATCACATGGAGACAGTTACATGAGTAACAGCAAATGACTGACCTGATGGACATGCTTTTATGAAAGCTTTATGCAATCGAATGTTCTAAAAGGAGATCTGGTCGACCCAGTCAAAGCTCAAAGGACTCGAACCATCACAACGTCATGGTAGCATAATCCTTCAAAATTCTTTAATAAAGACTTAATATCAGAAGTGATCTTACTATCTAATTTCTTTGGATCCATATAAACATGACACCTACTAGAAACTGGTTTAAGTTTACCCCTGTATTATACACCTTTTAGATTGTTAAATTCTTTAGAGAATCTTAAGTCATACAAACAAGCTTTGTTATCAATTTATAACTCTTACTTTGACTGATGGTAATTACGATAATCAAACCCAACTGAAAAACAACGTTTAGAACTTTGGGTCGGTTTTCAGGGTTTTAAAATGCCTCGGTTTTGGATGGAAAAACTTTTACTCTTCAGAAAGAAAAACAAAGTCACGATGTCAGGCCACTAGTTGATCTGATTATTTTTCGACTACTCATTTCCGTAAGTAGCATACATTTTTCCCCATTTTTATTCGTCTTCTTGATATTATTTATAGTGTCAAAAAGGTGACAAATTGTAATGGGAATGTCTGTCGTTTCCACCTCCCTATATGACTCAAACCAACTTTCAAAGACTTCATTGATTTGTGTCATGTTCTGGTTTGACCAACCCCAAATCTTTTCCAACCTCATCTTATGTCATATAACATTGCTCAATTGTAGATCAGCATGCATAGCATATGTTCTAGTTTTCTCAACCAATGTAGGTTCAAAACTACATCAACTGACTTGCCCTCCTCACCTAACCTCGACATGAATTGCTGTATCATACAACTTAACACAGCAGGTATAACGCAGGCAGTTAGCCTCTTCATATCTCCCAATTTCGATGGTTATATCTCACGCCTATAAAGAAGGATATTACGAACTACTGAGCAATACACACATCCTTTGATCGATAGCCAGACATTATGTCTTCTTCAGAGGTGACATAAGATGATAAATGTCACATGAACCTTATGTGTCCGTGCTGAGATTTCGTCAGCTACTAATCAGCTGGAGCTGACTCAATTTCCCAAATAAGTGAAGTAGTCAACATACTCTACTACTTCACTCTGTATCTTAAGGCTAGGAGTCGGTGTAATCCAGTCTTGCAGCATCATCTTACATTTCACAAGATCGAATCGTATGCCAAACAATCAGAAGTTGCTACTCAAGGTGTTTAGAAGACTCTGCATTTCGTCAGTGTTCTCTCCTAAGACAACGATATCATCCGCGTAAGCCGATGAGACTGTCTACTGGTAACAAGTCAGTCCCTAAATGATAGTTATGTCTAACTATGAATTGCGTAAAGCTAATCAGAAACTAACTTTTAAAGCCTGATCAAGCTAATAACTACGTTCATTGGTGTATTAATTCATGTATCCTTAAGCCTGATAAGTGAAATACTGCATATACCCGTTGTGAAGTTTCAACAGACATAACAACTCAATCACCAGCTTCCTAGACAACACCTTCTAAACATTAAGCAAAATTCTTACCAATCTATGACGCTTATACATACTTTCTACTTAAACAATGCAATGTAATATTCATTAACTCCTACATTTGAATGTCCACCATACCTGAAAGGAAGATAAGCTCGGGTTCGTCATAGGTCAAGTCTGGATAATACGTTTATATAATTTATCTAAATGAAAATCACTTTACAAAAATAAACTTGATAATTAAATAAATAAGTTTTATAAATCTGTTCTGTACATAAGATGGATAAAATTGCAAAAAAATAACACATTCAGCTTAAATATGGTCGCCAAACATTTTGTTCACTAATAATCTGTCGAATATTTTCTTTTGGATCATCAGTAACACTACTCCATTGACTTGAAACAAGATCATGATCATCAATGAATTTAGGGCATTTGGGTTCAAAAATAAATCGATCATCGATTCCACACGATAAACTCTGTTGACTGGTGGAATTGTAATCATTCTTATCTTCAACTTTGAATATATTTTGATTTTTCATTTGTGACCAACGATATTTTAATGGTAATCGAAAGGTATGAGGTTTGGAGGATTTATTACATAGAAAATCAGCTTTCTTATTAATTGGTTCAATACAGCAAGAAAATGACTCTGAAGTATTCATCTTAAGGGGACTTCTTAGTCTTGTATCCATCTTTGTACAAAAGTCTGAACTTTCAATTGAGTGTTCATATGAAGTATTGGATGGATTTTGGTTCAACTCTTTTATTTGTGAAGGAATGATACTGGTTGCAAGAGGATAAACCAATTGATTTTCTTGACGTTCAGCTTTGTAATCAGATATCGTTGATGAAATTGGACTGTTTGACTGTAGGCTAATTGTATCTGTAGACTGTGGAGTGTTTCTCGAATCCTTCGTCTCAAGACAACTTGAGGTTAATTTATGCAAACGGGACAGTAGTTCTGAAAAGTTGTCAGGGAAAGAGTGAAAAAATTAATCTCCAGTTGGATTGGTAATATAGGAAGCAAAAAATTTTAGTTATTTTACGTATCAGCATGTCTTTATCTATCAGTATAGTTTAATCGGTAACTTAGTTAATATTCTAAGTCTAAGTAATGAATAAAGAATATAACTTTACAAAATGCTTATTTGAACAACATTTAAAATTACCTGGCCTTTCCTTCAAAATTCTCGAGATTCCTTCAAATACAGTATAACAGATTCCAAGGATATCACTTTTCTCCATTTTAGAATATTTTATTGGCTGAAAATGTTTAAAGAAACAAACGAATTATTATTCGAGCAAAGTAATATTCGTATATTTATTTATTTTTCACTTTTATTACTTAAATATTTTGTAAGTAGTTGAGCAGTAAATAAGCAGTTCAACCAAATTTCTAGACAGATTTATATAAACATTCTCAAGTTATACATAAGTTAATTCATTTCTGTGAAAGAATGTATTCCATTTGAAAGAGTTTGTTGAAAACTGCCTTCTTGTTTACATGTTTTTCTAAAAATGGAAATCTTCTAGTTTCATAAGTTCTCTTAAATCCGTAGGAATTATATAATCCTTCTCAATGATTGGGTTTAACAGCATAAAGTCTACTTTATGAGCTGATTACATAATAAAATGAGTGATATATTCTATGGGGAGGTATCTACGTTAGTCATTAGCTATCTTGAATACGACTTTTAAGCCTCATAGAAACTTATATGGAAAATAGTTTAACTAAATCGTTCAAAAATGATGCACAGTTTCACGTTAAAAGAAGAAGTATATTTGTCCATCAAATTCATTGAATATTTGAAAAAGAAAAGCACAAAAGAAATTGCTGACACTTACATCCTCTCCGATTAATTTCATAGCCAAATTGTGTAATGCATTCATTTTGTCTGCAATACATGCACGACGACGTCGTTCTGTATATTGTTTCTTCAACTAGAAAAAGAGAAAAAAGAATTAAGGAAAATAAACATTTCATTCAAACCATAATTTGTTCATTTTATTCCTTTACGTTCCCAGTGGAACATAGGGCTTCTAGCCAGAGGCTTGAAGTTTTGATAGCAGTGGCATTTATCTTCATGAAATGGGGTTGCTAGCCTCATACTCCAACCTTCCCTCTTTACCAGTCTTGTTATAGGCTGAGCGAGGTTTAGGAGTGCATCAGCCGGGGATCGAACACCGAACCACCTGTGTGGTTGGAGAGCATTCTTCCCCTGCGCCACCGAGGCAGTCAAATTACAATGTAGACAGGATTAAATTGTAGATTATAGAAAGAATGAGAAATATACTTTTATCTTACTTATCACTGTTCACACATAAATAAAAGATGTAATGTAATTCAACAATCTTGAATGAATTATTACAAACGAATAGGTTCAGTCAGTGGACCTGCCTTTTAACCTGAAGGTCTCTTATGTAGTCACAGGTGCTGTCCACTGCAAAGCCTCATAATAGGAAGAGATAAATTTATAGTGCACTTTGTTGTTCAGTGGTTCTTTAACTAATGTTGGCTCACAATGAAATCTACATCAACTGTTCGCTGGTGAATAAGTTAAACAAATCACATGAAATTTACTTTTATTTTTAAAGGAGGAATTTCATAAAGAAGGGATTATATGTCTAAATACTTTTCATACAAACAAAATAACTCCTTTGGTAGAGATTTTCGATTCAATAACAATATTTATAATCGTAGCGATTAATTGTACTTAGTTAAGATAATTGTTAACTGGCCCTAAACTCAGACTTCAGTTAATAAGGGGGTTCTGAAAGTTTGTCTATACAAGGTACGCCTAGTACATGGAATCAAAATGACACAATGCTAATACCAGATATATGAAAAAATGTTACTACCAATAAAGCCAAAGAATAAGAAATGATGGGATTACATTCAGTGAGTGTCTTAGTATGAATACGAACAATAAGTTGAGCTCAAAATGTCATCAGTAAATAACTCTGTATCACACTGTGCTTTTATCAGATAAGATTATTCTAAGATGGAATCACACTCTGCTAGAGTGCCTAAGTTTCATTGTTATATCAGAAATTAACAAAATACTGTTACTACAGGTTTTTATGAAATATAGTAGTAATAGTGTGTCGGTGGCACAGCGGCAGAGTACTCGCCGACCACACAGATGGTTCGGGGTTCGATCTCCGGCCACCGACCCACTCCTAAACCTCGCTAAGCCAGTAGTAAGACTGGTGAAGAGGGGAAGTTGGAGCATGAGGCTAGTAATCCCATCCTGTAAAAATAATCACCACTGCTACGGAAACTTCATGTCTCTATCTAGAAGCCCTATTTTCCACTGGGAACGTAAAGGAATGAAAAAAAATAGTAGTAGTAATAAGGTCTAATATACTGATGCAATTTATGCGTAAAAAGAAGCTTACCCGACGAACTTCATCACGGATTTCCAAAGGTATTGTTGAACGTCTACCTCGACGACTAGGTAATTTTTTAGAAATGTTAACATTTTGAGTTGGTAACGTCATATTATATGCTTCATTGCTCTTAACATCTAATGTAACTAATTCCTCATATGCAAAGCTCTTAGTGGACAAATAATTTGAAACTTCATGATGAATAGGCATCATTTTAACGAAATAAACTTGAGGTAGTCGTTTTTTCCAACATGTATATATACAATTTCATAAATGTTCTTAACCAATTGTAGAATACAAGCCACACGAATAAGTCAACTTAACGTCGCATGCAACCGTAATAACCAATCAAAATTTAGCCGACTAATAACCGTATGCTTACACATGTGATTGTCTGCTTTTCGTGCATTAAACCTTCAGCCACAATTATTCCGTGTGGTGAGGGGGAGTAATATTCAAACTCTTATTCATCAAAATATGTGAGGACACATTAGATTTTGTCTATTAGGTGAAAAAAAATCAAATAAAAAATATCAAAAACAACAAGTTTCGACTTGTTTTTTTTGCCCAGTCAGTAAAATCACACAGTAGTTATTTTAACCAAAAATATGAGACAAAAACACGTTGAAAAATGGCGGGAAAAAACAACTTAAAACTGACAAAAAGAGATGCAGACATTGGCGAAAATGACACTTATCACAGTTATGGGCAAAGGTTATTTGGTTAGGAAAGCTTTAGAGCGATAAATGTGACAATAAGTCATATGTGCTTATGCTTGCGGAAATATGATTGCTTTCAAAGTTCCGATATTAGTTACAGCACCGTTGAATATTAAGGGTAACTGGACTTCCGTTCTGTTTTAGATTTCCTCTGTTCAACAGTGTTTACCTATGATCCCGTTGGAGGATAAACATAAGAAAGTTACCCACTGGTTATTTTTACAATTTTTCAAAAGTTTTTGGTGAGGACACTTGAAGGGGCATAAATTAGAACTAAACATCTGTCCAGTGGTTATTTAATTCAATTTTAGATTTTCTCGTCGATTGATTGGACCGAAGTGCTCGGTCTCGGGTTGACATGTCGGCTTCTTGTGCAGATACTTCGACGATGTCTCGGCGTGTAATTAGAAGTTAATTGGTGGATGGTGACTAGCAGTGGAATCCAGGATGCGCATTTCGTCCTATTTGGGACTCGTCGAAGCATCTGCACAAGAAACCTACATGTCAACCTGAGATCGAGCACTTCGGTCCAATCAATCGATGGGAAAATCTAAAATTCAATTAAATAATTAATATGACCCGTTGCACAAGAGGTGGTGGCTCTCGTGGTCCAAGTGGTCTAGTGGATAACGCTTTGGCGTTTGAAACTATGGGCACTGGGTTCGAGCCTCGGTGGGATAATCATCACTCACTGCGGAAGGCATGCGCATCCAGCTGGAGGACGAGTCCCAAATAGGACGAAATGCACATCCTCATGGATTCCACTGCTAGTCACCATCCACCAATTAACTTCTGTCGATGGCAGTGAGATTTTCTAGCTCATCTCTGTTTGTGATAAAATATGCCTTTAAATTAATATTACCGCTATTATTACTATTCAGTTACTGTGTTCCGAGTGAGATACAGAGCTTCGACAAGACATCTTCATTCATTCCGATTCTGTGCACAATTTCAGTTGAGACCACATGCCTTAACCTGTTCATCGCATGATCTCCTCCAACGCCTAAGTCACCGTTTCCCATTCAGGTTGTAATCGAGGTCCCAGAGTGTGATATCACTTCGAATGTTTCCCCGGTCTATATCCAGTCCACCTCCATTTCCTTCTGCATATTTGTTGAGTAATTGCTTTTTGGGCCGTTTACTGACAGTGTTCCTAGTTGACTATCCTTTTTTGTAGACCTTCAGTATCGAAATAGCAAAGGCATCTGTTGATGCAAATCCACAGCAGGCTATTGGAAATGCTTTTAGTGACAAGCGTGCCAAGTGTCTGAAGCTTATAGAAACATTGACTTGACACTAGCGTCAAAAAATCGAGCCTTTATACTGAGTACAGCAGACTCGCACACTGATTTCTGGCTGATGAAAGTCTGTGTGTTTCCTTACCGAAAGTAGCTTTGACATCTTTATCTGGACCGCCTAGATAAATGAAAGAGATGATTTACATTAGATTTCCCCTGTTACAAGCAACTGTTGCGTGTTGTTGTTGGTTAACTATCTTCATCAGCTTTGTTGTTAAAAATTCGTATTTTTACAGTTGGGTTGAATAAGAAGTGCAGATCTCTACAGCGACTTCAAAGTAATGAGTGCCTGTTTTGTTTTTTCGAACCAATAAAATTTCAACAGGCCCAACACTTGAATCAAGTTATTAGAAAAGTCCATTTATGGTAGGATTCGAGTGAGTAGCTCGGCCATCTGTTGAATCAACCGTATTACTGATTTACGATTAAACTTCTGCCTCATTCCAGTTACCAAGATCTGTGTTCGGTTGGATAGTTTTACAAATTAAAATTACTTCTAAAACTTACTATGATAACACTCTAAGCCAGTGGACTATCGAAGAGTATACTTATATTCGTTTTACAGTATACTATACTATATTTTTACTTTATTTGTAAGTACCCAGCATTATGCTACTTATTTTGTCATTAATATAAAATGAGATTTATTTTTAAAAATGGCTCACTGAGATCCTTGAACCAGTAAGATCAAATCTATGTGAACATAACCTTTCTGACACTTTGAACTTCGCCAGTTGTGTTGATGGAATTAATGTGACTGGTAAGCATACAATTTCATTAGATGTTTGCTCTTTATTTACAAATGTACTATTGGTAGAAACTATCTGTTATCTATGTGATAACACCGACCTAGAATGCATAAACGTCTGAGTGCCAACTAACTATCTAAAGCAGCTTTTATTGGCATGTACGCTTAATGTACATTTAAGATATAACGATATCATCGATAATCAAAGGGATGGTGTCGCCATGGAGTCTCCATTAGGACCTCTTCTAATGAATTTCTTTATTGCGGGCTTAGAAAGTGGTCTAGTGAAAGAAAAATCTCGAGTCTGCATATGTATAAGCAATATATTGAGGACACCTTTATTATTTGGGATGAAAATTGTTCAACTGATGAGCTTTTAAGGAAGAAGAGTCAAACTCTGTATTTCACTTCTTAGATGTGATGCTAGATAGAAGAGAGGACAGCACGTTAAAAAGGTCGACCTACTAAAAGCCGACATTTACAGGTTAGTACACTAATTCCAACAGTTAGGTACTTAGGCAGGAAGAGAAATCTTATCCATTCTCTATGTTGCAGAATTTGGAAAATTTGCTCTATAGATATGGTCGACATAGAAATAGAAAGCCTTCGTACAACTCTCTTAAATAATGGATATCCTAGAAGGTTTATCGACAGAAACATCAAGAAAGAAACCGTCCCCAGACAAATCACAGTGCCGAAGAAGACTATGTTTACGAGTTTGGCTTTCAAAGGTAACATCATTTCCAAAGTAATTACTAATGTGTTTTCAGTATTAACAGTGGTTTA